GTAGAAGAGAAGATAGAAGAGAGAGAGAGAGAGAGGGACATCTTGCTCCACAGGACTCTCGCTCTCGCCACCGGCGCCCCCGCTATTTATTTTCCAGGATTTCAGAGTCCGAAGCCATTAATCTCCGCTCCGCAGCGTCAGTGGAGCGCGTCAGGGCGACGTCGGGGTGCGTGGCGTCGGCGACGTCGCTCTGCTCTTAGCCGCAGAGCCTCGTGTACACCGTCGTGGCAGCCTGCTGTTGAAGAGAGGGAGAACGGGGAGGGAGGGGAGGGAAGAGAGAGAGAGAGAGGAAAAGATGAGGTGTCGGTGAAAGAAGAGAGGTGAAGATGGAGCGAGAGAAAGAAGGAGTGGTGGGGGAGAGGGAGGGGAAAGCGTCCGGAGAGGGAGTCGGTGAGGGACATGGGAAGTTCTGTAAGGTTTTGGAGGGGGTGCTGATGGCGGCGACGAGAGAGGGGAACTCCTACGGCCAAGTTATGCAAAAAACGTCTATTCGTGAAAGGATGATACCGCGCTGGAAGGTGGAAAGGCATTAGTATCTAAGAATTTTGCGGTGATGGCCTTTTGATGTCCATCTCAATTCGAGTATTCCGGTTTAACGCTCCGATTTATCGCGTTAACGAAATTGGAATTGGTCTGCAAATATTCGTTATGACTTGTATTGATCCTTATGGTATCCATTTTTATATTTTCTGTCTTCGATATTTAAAGTTTTATTGTTCCTTCATTTTTCATGTAGCAAATTTTTCGTTTGTTTGATAGCACATAATTAAATTTTATAAAAATATATGTATATTATTAACAGATAATATGTATAACAATCGATCTTTAACAATTGTGGATATATTTATATAACAGGTATTTCGCAAAAGACCTTGCGATCATTAGAGATTCCCGCAAACAGATATATTCGAGGCACGCCGACGAACGAGTTGAAAAGCCAAGAGGAGAGATCTCTATCGGCGCTTAATCGTTAACAAGAACGAGAGATCCAGCATCTCGTAAGGCATTAATCGTTCGAAAGTGACGCTGCCAACCGACCAGGGCAATAACAACAACAACAACAACAACAACAACAACTGGGATACCTGTTGGATATATTCGAAAGTCTTGGTGGAATGTGTGAAGATGGCCATTATATAGCCGAGTACGGGTTAAATTATATTAAATACTAAATAACCGGTGGAAGACCACAGTCTAATTGTTGCGTCGTTTGCATAATGCCCGGTCTGTAACTACTCTCTTCCCTTCTGCATCCCCACTCCCCATCCCGTTTCCATCTCTGTCCACTTGTACCCTCTTTAACGTGCCTTCTCCGCGTATATCTCCTCGTTGCATCCTCCTATCTTCTTTCTGTGACCCCCTTCCACTTTACAACGACCGTGTCCCCTCTTCTCTGATTCAGTCGCAATATACCGGACCGAAAGATTAATCGTTAATTCTCGCTACTGCAACCAGTTGCTACCAAATGCTCAAAGGTTCGTTTCTGCATGGATTAAGAAACCGATGGATCAGGTAGCAGTGCGCACAAAGGAATTGTAAATGTGGTAATATCTTGGTAGGATGAATTTCGTTTCTTGATACGGTAAGCGAATATGCATATTTGAGGTTAAGTTAGGCAAGGATTAAGAAACCGACAGATCGGACAACAATGTGCGCAAAAAAGTTTTAAATGTGGTAGAATATATTCGTTTCTCGACGCGATATGCAAATGTTCATATTCGGGGATAGGTTAAGCAAGGATTAAGAAACGAATCGATTTAGCATAAATGTTCATGAAGAAAAAATAAATATGAAAAGAAATCTTGATTTTTTTTACATATGTTAATATTCACG